AAAACCACCAGCTGCTTCAAACGAATTTGATGGCATTTCAGGAGTTGGCTAAGTGTTTATAAACTCACCCTATTTCTCTTTCTGAATGTTGTGTTGTCAGTGATGATGTGTTGTTGCAGTTGTCAGTAAACATATGATGTTGTTTACTATCTCCATATTCACAATGTGTTGTCCCTGCTCTGCTGTGAACAGCTGTTTTCTTCCTCCATTGAAGGGTCATCTATCAATTCTGCCGTGAATGGTTAAGCGGCAAGATTTCTTTCAGTATGCAATACTGTAAAATGTATTAATGATAATGATATGATGATACTGGCTACTGTGTACAACTTAAGTTAGGCTGGACCCTCTGCTCAGCCTCCCTGAAACTCAAACCATGGTTGACCACCTGATCAACCAAAGTTGCCCGGATCTCATCTGTGATTTTTCTCCTCTGTCCTCTTCCTTGTTGTACTCCTTTTCCCCTTCCTCTTTGACCTCTTCTTCGTCTCCCTCTTACTTTCACTCCTCTTCCTCTAACTCTCTCTCCAAAATTGGCCTCCATTGTTGTCCGAACCAAGAGACCCATCCTGATATTTATAGTGCTCAAGCTCTGATTTCTAAGTGATCAAATTAGGTATAAGTGTCACACATGATCACTGGGTAGATAATCAGTAAATATGTGTGGCATTTACAGTTTTTCGCAATCGATTTGAAACAATTCTCTAAACTCAGGTCACTGTTCTCAAAACAGTTAATACAGTGGGCTGAACACTTTGTAATTGTCCTAAACAGATTGTAAGTTTTCATTCATTTCATACAAATTACAAATCATGTGAATAATTTTCAAATCATACAAATCATGTGAATAAGCTCCTTTTATTGGTTTTACACAAATCACAAACATTTATGTACCATTTGTTCAAACACAACAAACAAAACTCTGTAATTTGTCATATCATCAATTCACATGGTATATTTAAAATTGCCCCCAGACTGATAACTGCTCACTTAATAACACGCAACACAGGAAACACCATTTTTCTAATTGTTTACACATTTATCACAATTGCTTTAACCATAAAGGGGAACTATAAAGTATACAAAGAGCAAGAAAAAAATATGCAACAACAAAAAAATATGAATACATAAATAAAAAAGGTGGGGATGGGTAAAGAAAGAGGTGTAAGTCTAAAAGGTTTTGGAGCAGGTAGAGAAAGGGGTGTAATGAGAGAGAGAAGAAGAGTGGAACAGGTAGAAAGAGATGAGGAGAGAGGAGGACGTAAGAAAAGAGGAGAGGAGAAGTAGAGGGAAAAGAGATGAGTGGAATGGAAGGCATTGGTGTAGTGGAAAGAGCAAAAATGAGAATCTGTAAGAACACATGTGAATGACCAAACATTTATTAGAACTGAAGTTTGAGAACATTCAGGTGGACAATCAAATTTATTTTGAATGGAACAAAAGCATTGTTGACATGGTGATCCTGAACAACATCACCAGCCACAAAGGAAGAGGCCTGTGGAGATGTTGAGATGAATGTAGTGTAGATAAAATGCAGTGTAGATGAAATTCTCTTCCAGATGTAAATGAAAGGCGAGATCAATAATTCAGCATAATTCCTGTACAACACACACACACACACACACACACATACATATATATATCCACAGAGCTGTAAAAGACAGATCTCTATTATCAGAAGCGTTTGTTTGCAGTTCTTGCTGCTAAAGTTGGCACAACCAGATTTTAAAATTAAAGGGGCAATTAGTTTTTCACATGGGGGATAAGCGTTGGATATATATATTTTTTTTATTTCAATTAGATATATACAACAACAGAAGAAATCATATATATATATATATGCAACAAAACTCCCTGTTGATAGATTAGATGTTAATATATACTTTTAATAAACACAAGAGTGTTAACCATGTTATAAATCATGGTCTCTCCTTGAGAAAAGCTGGCCAAAGAGTTCAGCCAAACATAAACTGATCCACAGTGGCTTCAATTATCCACTCATTTCAGACAGAAAACCGGTAAGTAATTATATAATTCTGGTTATATGAGTCTAGTCTAGAGCCTTGTCTATTTCTAGTTCTAATTGTGTACTGTAAATGTTTCTTCTTGTTCAATTTTTTTCAGAATTGAAGTTTGAGAACATTTTGGTGGACGAACAAGACTATTTTCAAATGAACAAGAACATGCCATTGTTGACATGGTGGTCCAGATCAACACCATCCGCCTCAAAGAAATTCAGCAAAGAATAATACAGGACAATCAACTATTTCATAATATTCACCAGTGCAGTCTTGCCACAAATGGTTGTGTTCTAAGAAGAAATGCCATCCGGATGAAGCAAGTATACAAAGTGCCCTTTGAGAGGAACTCCGATAGAGTGAAGAAGTTGTGATTCCTGTTTGTTCAGGTCTACGTGAAATCCACACATTTACTGCACTTTTACTACAAAAAACAAAGATATGTATTTCCTGGACATGTCCATATACTATTACACTCTGAAAAAATTTGATCTCTATGTATAGTGCTGTGTCAAAGTGGGAGAACTCAATGTTCAGCAACATGTTTTCTTTTTTCTTTTTTAAACTAGAGGATTTTGGAGTTGGATAGCAGTGGACGGGCAGACTGGGACAAAAATTCAGCCATTGCACTGTAGCCACACTGGCCCACATTACCACACCAACACAGCCCCACCCACGGACACACGCATTCACTACTTACATTTGTGTACAGATGGTGAAATAATATAAGCAGTACCATATATGTAACAGATATTTAAACATTTAATGTATGTATCTGGCAAACAATGCTTACTACTTTTTAAAGTGCACACGTTTATAACAAATTTACACATACAGTAAAAACAAAAGAAAAAGAATCTGAGGATGTTGTAGAGTCTGTGTGCTGTTTATGCCATTTGTCTGCTGTTACTGTCATTCTCTACAGTATGTTGTTCTTTGTTGTCACTGTGTGGCACTAACTGTCCTCCGCTGCAGCAGCCGAATTTAAACCTTTTGAAAAGAGTTCGATTACTTTTACGCATTTAGCAGCGTCGGACCTAAGCCCTTTTTTTTTCTCATAGTTTTTCTGCACCGCCTTTCCTTTTTTACGGTTGTTTTCTTTTTTCTTTTTTGGAGTTGAATAACAGTGGAACTCATTATGAGTACCTGTATGTTGATGAAGCTGGCTTTAATCTCAACAAAAAAGCAAACGAGGAAGGAATATGATTGGCCATCGTGCCACAGTCAATGTTCCTGGACAACGAGGAGGCAACATCACCATGTGTGCCGCAATTACAACCACTGATGTTGTGGCACACAATGCTGTCTTGGACCCATACAACACTGAAAACCCCCTACATTTTTTAAACTCCCTCAGTGAAATCCTCTTTCCGCAGGTCGATCAGGAGCAAATGGAGCGAAATTTCATAGTTATCTGGGACAATGTCCAATTCCATCATTCAACACTGGTGCAAGAGTGGTTTGAACATCACCTAAATTTCAGAATGGTGTTCTTTCCTCCATATTCTCCTTTACTGAATCCAATTGAGGAGTTCTTGTCTTCCTGGAGATGGAAAGTGATTGCAACCCTTACAACCAAGTGAGTCTTCTTCAAGCAATGGAAGAGGCTTGTGGAGATGTTGAGGCAGAAGCTTGTTAAGGATGGATGCAACATGCATGCCGTTTTTTTCCCGCGATTCATGGCTTGTGAGAATATATGCTGTGCTGTAGATGAAATTCTGGCTAGATGTAATTGAGAGACATGATCAATAAAGTTAATTGTTTTAGTGATTGCAATTCATTCATTCATTCATTTTTTTTGTAAGAAACTCATTGAAGAACTTCATGATAAACGTGTATTTTAATTCATGTCTTTGTGTATCTAGTTGAATATGCTATCAAATCAACAGAGAACACTCTTGTAGTTTTGATGTCAGTATCTATTTTTAATAAATGCATTACTAGAATTAAATTAGTGCTTCATTATGCAGTAAAATTGAACTGTTTGGCCAACATAAGAATGTTTAGTTTGCTGTGTTAATTGTTTTGAGAGCAGTTACATTCATTGGAGAAATGTGTCAAATTGATTGAGAAAAATGTAAAAAACAAGAGCTGTTAGTTTTGAATGAGGTGTCTAATGTAGAGAACTGTGTTCAGCATTTTGCAAAAAGTATGTTTTTAAATGTTACATTTTAAATGTGCCTGCAGTTTTGCAGACTTGTTCTAAAGATTCAGTATATGAGTGAACGGTTTCACTGAGTGTGCCTCAAGAAAAACTATAAGTTTGTAAGCAGTTTTGAAAAACTGTAGTATTTTGACAGTCATTGTGCTATGATTGGCTGATGTTCTTGTTGAATAGAAAAGGTGCTAGTGTTTTGACTTAATGATTAGTGATTATGATTAGATAATGATATATTGAGTCAAAGGTGCTGTGTTTTAGAAGAAAAAGGTTTTTTTGCATTTTGAATTTTGTATTTTGAAATGTAGAGATAGAATTTAATGAACAAGACTTTAACTATTTGGCTAAATGTGTGTTGTATGTGTGTTGTTACATTAAGATTTTAGAAAAAGTATGTTAAGTATAATTAAACACTTAGCAATTGTAATTAAATTAAAGATGCACATAGGAACATTTCTCAGCATTATTTTTTTTAGATGTTTTCAAATGTTTAAAATTATTTGTACTCACGAGATGAAGAGTCATTTCAGTGATAACCTCTAATCAGCCAAATACTACTTGTATCTTACCTTTAACATCTGCTCATTATTCATAGCATTTTTTTCATCAAGTTTTATCTCTCTAGAACAGTGCAAATATTAGAAAAACCCAGTTTTAAAGCCTAACAGGTCTAAAAAATACTGATCATAGAATATAAGTGAAGTCTACTAATACGACTACTTGTTTGAATATAACTTTAAAAAAGTTTGTGAAAAAACATTTCTTTATGACTGAAATGTACATGAAAATCAAGAAAAAAGAATACGTATAAGTAAAATATGCTCATTAGATGTGCTTTATTTGTACAGGTATCATTTATTCAGCATAGCAACAAAGGCTTGGTTTTCCATTTCAACTTTAACAATTCTTTGCTTGTATGTACATTATTGTGTACAAGGGATAAACTTGAACAATAATCTTTATTATCTCTATATTTCACACATCATTCACAATACATCACAACACATACTGCCAACATTGCATACTGTACATTGCATCTTCACATGAAGCTCACTGAAAAATAAGTGTCAGATTTGATGCTATATTTAAATCATAGTTGTTTTAAATTTTAGAAATGAAACACCAAGGATTGTGGAAATTAGGATTGTGTATGATAGATGATAGATAAATGCTTCATTATTAGTCCACATGCAGTCAGTATGAGGATCTGAAATTTGAATAATTATTAATCATGTGACCGAGTTTGACAAATGAGTCTGAGTTATAAAATACATAATGAGACACCTACCATCATTAATTAGGTACAAGGATCCTCCCTGTCAAAGTAAAAATAAATAATAAAAAATACATGCATATACAGGAATGTAAACACATTAATATCAATCTGAATTAAACTAAACTGACCTGCTGATTTCTTCTTGTAGTAAATGAGTCCAGCAGCTGCTAATACGATTCCTAGCACTAGTCCAGAGGCCCCGATAGCGATTTTATTCCTCTCAGCCTCAGGAGGAGAGGGGTCTGTACACACATCACTTTGCATTATTACAATATTTACAAATATAAGTATGTGTGAGAGCAATAAGAGGACTATTTCATATTTTCTATTTGATCCTACATTGGCCTGTCAAAATATACCATTTACAAATGTAGTACAAAATGAGAGTAGGTGAGTATCTCATCTTACCCCAGTCATAAATCATGGGTTTACTGAAGCTGGCATGCTCAACCATACAGGAGATCTTCTCTCCAGATTTGGGGCTGTACTCCAGCTCAGAGTGAATCTGGTAGTACCAGTCCCCATCAGCCATCTCCATAGTGGAGGTCACTTCAGAGGTCATCAGTTTACCATCTCTCAGCCAGGACACTTTGATGTGTTGAGGATAAAATTCATATGCGCTGAACATCAACACAGCTGGATGTCTGCCACCAGCCCGCGTCACTGAACTGAGCTTAACCTTTGGTTTCACTGAATCAAGAAGAGTAAAATTCTAAACACACAGTTTCCAATGCATGTCTCGTATGTAATGTGTGTGTGTGTGTCGGTGGGTGGTAGGGGTGTTTTTACTTAAAATATACTTTTCACATTAAAATTACATTTCAAAATGTCATTAATGTCATGCTGATATTAAAACATTTTTCATATTAAATATTAGTGTAAATGCTTTTGTAAAAATAACAGAAACTTTTAAAGCAAGAGTTCTATGTTTGAGAGTAAAGATCAGAAAAGAGTCTTGTGCCACTCACCTGTTTTACTACGAACAGCTGAGTCCGAGATTTGAGCATTATGTTTGCAGAATGCATCTACATCACCTCTCTCTCCCTGCAGAATGCTGGTGTCATTGTTCCAGTACTCTGCATTTCTCATTCCATACTCACTAAACCCCACATACTTCCCCAAAGTGCTGTTGAACTGTGTGAACAGATATTTATTGAAATAAAAGCTGTCAATATACACCATGTCACTGAGATCAGGGGAGCTGTAGATGCATCTTGACCAACGGGTTGTGAAATATTCATTAGCTGAAACAGAATGTAGATACAGAACAATCAGTTTTGTCAAATAATTATGTAATCGGTATAGAAATAGAAGAACTTGGATACATCAGCCACTTGCAGTACTTGGTTGTCTTTTCAAAATAGTGCTTTTTAAATAATATCTACTCCAGAGAGTCCAAATGACCATTAGAATGAGTTGCCCTTCTTAAGGAAATGTTACAGTAGTATGATTTCAATAATTTTACTTTTACTACAACTGATAATAATTCATATAAAATAGTAATTATTGTTGATATTTAATTATATTACTTTAATACCACTTATTTTACTTACCACTTTCTGCTAGAGTGAATACAGACACTGTGAATATGAGATGAAAACTGAAGAGCTTTAGCAGTGACATTTTCACTCACACTGAATCCCAGCTGAATGCTGACTGGAGCTTTGTTAATTTTCATGAGATTGATGTCTAAAATGACTGGCCAATCAGTCACACTGCATGTATAAGTGTCAAGTGTTGCTAGGCAGTATACTTCTTTCATTTTAAAACACAAACACTGTTCAGTTATCTTTAGAATCACGTGGAAAGACAGTATGTCCAGCTGTAGACAGGCTCTAAAAGCTGCCAGGGCTGAGCATCTCCACAAACTCATAGAAAATAACTAAAGTAATCCAAGGTTTTTTTTTTAGCACCATGGCTAGATTAACAAAAAAAAATAAATGAAATAAAAAATTGCAGTAATTTATAACAAGACCAGGTGAAATTGCCAGATTATATAAGCTAACACTCTGTGTTAAATATGTAAAAGATTGGATGACCAATAATTTTCTTCTATTAAATGCAGATAAGACAGAGATAATTATTGGACCAAAAAAAGTACACAAAATCTCTCAGAATACAATTTGCATATAGAGAGATGTAATGTTACTTCTTCCTCTGCAGTCAAAAATGTGGGTGTTAAATTAGACATCCGAGGACCTCTGCTAACTACTGTATGAACCAATTTACAAAGCTGCCAAATTTCCTTTACATTACTATAAATAACCCTAAATTATCCAATGACTAATTTAAACAAAAGTTGTACTGTGCAGAAACTCATATATTCCCTACTAAACAAAGCTAAGCAATTTTAATGACATATACATATTTAGTCAGCAACAGTGGTGTAGCAAATCAGCCATGGACCCATATGCAAAAAAAATTGTACAGGCCCCCCAAAACGTCATAAAGTGGGCTCCAACTCGGGTAACTTATGTTAACTTATTGTTGTCTTTTCCAAGGTAAATAATGTTGCGTGACTATTCACAAGCTGTTTTATTGACGTTAAATGCTTGGAAATAATAGCCTATTTAACATTTTCAAATCCATTTGTTATTTGTAGCACACCAGCCACCCAGTAATCGCAATAAGCTTTGCACTTCATTACTTTTAATATAACACAAAGGCTTTAAATTTTGTCAATTTTATCATGAAATACAAACAATAAAGTGTTTTATGCTCTTTAATGTGAAGTGAGATCATTGTATTCGCCTCAGTTCAAGCGGCAGGTGAATCAATCATCTTTTCCTCTTTACTACTAGATACAGCATGAAGTAAACTTGAATGAACACCAGAAGGTGTGTTGAAATAAATCAGAACAACTTAAAACAAATATCTCATGTAATCAGTCAATCAGTGTTTCGAAAAACATCAATAAAACAGCCTGCCATAAAAGTCGTAACATAACAGTTAGCCTACCTCAGAAAAGCCAACAATAGGCCTACAACTTTGCCAACATTGTATTAGTATTTTCATAAATCAGTAAGTTCACTGAGTTGGAGCCTGCTTCAACCTTTAGAATGTTTTTATTGCTGTTTTTCAGAATGAAGAATGAAAGGTTGGATGCCAACCTGTTTTGTTTTATTTTATTTTATTTTTATTTATTTTTTTGCAGAGTAGGAGGAATTTTCACATTAATTAGCTTTGTTCATGCAATATAGCACAACTTTATTCTCGTAATTTTTACTTTATTCTAAAGATTTTATGACTTTAATCTAGTCTTAGATTTTTGTATTATTATTATTTTTATTTTATTAATTTTACTAAAACGCTGCTGTATTTTCTAAACTACTGCATGCAAACACAATCTTGGCACAGCGGCCCAAAATGTTTAAAGAAAAAAAAATCTACATTTCAGCTGCATTCTCTGGGCCTTTCTTTCGGCAAATTCATCCACAATGTCCTTGGTGTTTAATTTAAGGATTTGTGTATTCTCAATGAATGCCTAGTTTCAAATAGTCTGTTCTGCATCATGGTGCTCTGCAAATAATTTTTATTAGCCTCAGTTTTGAAAATGTGCGCTCAGCTGAAGCCACAGTAACAGATGAGAATTAAAACGAAAGAAAGAGAATTAAAACATTGCAGGTGTCACTGAAGCTAGTGATGCAGTCTTTTCAACTAGCTAGCTACCAACCTCATGCAGTTATTTTTTATTATTATTATTTTTATATTATTTTATTTGGCCGCAGCAATGCAGCATATGCACATAGTTAAAAAATGACAGTTCTATGGCAGCTGCGGGGTGCAAAAATAACAAATGCACACCAGAAATTACGGAGCCCTGCACATGACATGCAGACAAAAAATACATATTAATCATGGCCATGAATTAAGAATTAGTTTCCTCGTTTTAATTAAAAGATCCTCCTCGGCAGACCCCCAATCCGCCCAGGCCCATATGCACATGCATACCCTGCATACCCAGATGCTACGCCCCTCGTCAGCAACTATAATTCACACTAAGATTATACACTACGCCATTTCAACTGTTACCTTTGCACAAATCTTTTAAGTTTCCAAGTTCATGTTTTATATTTCATTTATGAGCTGTCCAACCATGCTATATTTAGAGTCCCTTGCCTAAGGGAAGCCTCCACTGTTACTGGAACAAAATTAATGAGACAAAAGGATGCTTTTTTTTTTTTTAATTTATGGATGTCACTGGAGACGTTTCAGTACACTGAATAAACTTTTGCATAGAAACATCTAGATACATCGTTAACTGAATGCCTGGGTGCTAATCCTCAATATGCTTGCACAATATATTCAATTTGGATTCAACTTTACTCGGGGTCTGCTTAACACTACCTGATCATTTCAATGGTATTCAACAAACAGTGATTGACTATCATAAAACTCTGAAAGTCATTCAGTGAAGTAAAAGCTATAATGTGATCATGATGATCAGGATGTAACTTGCAATTGGTAGATTTACTACAGTCAAAAGTTGTAGCCTTTTTCTCCAAAAGGAGTCATCATCATTAGCCAACATTAACACAAATTTTATAGAAGTTGTTGTTTCTGCTCTATTTATGTTAGACAGTAGATTTGGTTAGTGGATTCACACAGTCATTCTGTATTGGAGTTTTAAAACACTGTTCCAAAATATAATTCCTCCAGGTTTGTGCATTAATGTTATTAAGTAGTAATGGGTTAACAATCTTTTCACTTTAAAATACTGTTGCAGATTCTAAGTAATTCTTCCAGGTTTGTGTGTTAACGATTTATTAATTACAAATGGGTTACAAATGTTTTCACTAAGAATTCTGTTCCACATTAGAATTCCTCCAGATTTGTCTGTTAATACTTTAATGGGTTACCAGTATTTTCACTTCATAATACTGTTCCAGATTATAAGTAACTTCCCCAGAATTGTATTGTTATAATGCATATGAATGAACTTGCTGTTAGTTTTCCACTATTTTAATAAAAACTTATAACTAATATCTCAGACACAGTATCCTAAAAATCACCAATTCTACCAGATTCTACTTTATTTGAAGTATACATCATAAAATACATAGGACAATATTTAGTAGTAAATATTTATAGTAAATTAATTTTAATGGATTACAATAATTACATCATTTCTACCTCACTTTCAAATGTATGTTGTTTAATTTGTATGTTTTTAATTTTATACGAAATGGAACTAAATCTAGCAGGAAAGGAAACGAGAAAGTGTTTTTAGTACAATATATCTTATGAATTGCAAACTGATCTGTGAAAGTTAACATCAACTATCATTTTTTTTCTTTATTCTAAAGTATTTTAAACCATCCAGATTTAGGTATTTATGTATTTATCTATCTTTAACATCAATATTGTTACCTGCCATGTAAAATGACACTCAAGAGCACAATAGCATTATTTTAAAATTGCTCAGCTGCAGTTCATTTAAGAGATCTTTTCTTTTGTTTGCCTCCATGGCTCCATAGTCAGTTGCAGTTGTTTCCTTTAACAAGGAAGAAGGTTCCCATAGCGACTCCCAGCAGCCCCAGAGTCAGACCCACTCCACAAAACACTGCTGGACCAACACTTGGGAAAGCAACATCAACATCTGGAAAATACATGCATAGGATATTTGAAGATGCATTAATATGATAACAGCTGAACAGATCATTTCAACAGAATAAAGACTTGAAAGAGTACTGAAATGCAGTGTCCATTCATTCAATTTGAAAACCACACTCACCCCATGTTTTGGTCTGAGGTTGACCCTGGAGGGCTCTGTGGTTCACTGTACAGCTGTAAATGTCTCCTTCAACAGGTGTAACCTTAAGAGTGGAGAAGATGTTGAAGGTACCATCATTCCTCGGACGGTACTGACTTAAACTCATGCCCTCTGTCACATTAACATTATTCTTTGTCCATGAGATGCTGAGAGATGGAGGATAGAAGCCAGTCACATGACAGATGAGAGTGTTCTGAACACTCAGCTGTACATCATCTTTTGGATAGATTGATGTCTGAGGTGCATCTAGAAACACAGATAACTGTATTCATTAATTCATTAGTTCATTCAAATGTATTTAGATATCTTAACTTTATTCAAATTATATACTTTTAAGGGAAAATTCGATGACACTAGATGCATGTTATATAGCTCATTTCATTTCTGTTTCCAGACAGATTAAGTGTTCACATCATGGCAACACTTTACATTAATGTTAACTTTGTTATAAAGAGGTTCATTAATCAATAAGAAAAAAAAATGAAGTGAGTTAAGCCATTACAATAAAGAACATAAACACATTACTTTTCAGTATGAGATTCTATTTTTGCTGCATCATGATATAAATCATGAAGTTGGTTTTGATTCAAATAAGCATGAATAAATCTTTATTAAGCATTTATAAGACAAATTTACAAGGGCTCACAGATATTGTGTGAAAGTTGACTTTTTTATTGATGTTATTATAACTGCGTATCAATCATTAATGCATTTGTGAATACAGTATGTTTTAGTCATTAATGAAACTCTTAATAAACCCTTATCAAAGGGAACATTGATATAAAGGTTTCCTCATGTTCATGCATTTTTCTTTTCTTTTTTCTTTTTTTATTCAAAAATTAAAAAGTTCATAGCACATTCTCATTCTTTACCCATTTCTGGTGGTGGACTCTTGAAGGTTTTAGTCCACAAGGCTAAATTACTTCTGCATATTTCTGTATTCCTAACACTGTATTCATACAATCCAGGAAATGTGATAGGATCTCCAAAATCAGGTAATGTTTCTACTCCTCTCTTCTGATTAAAGTCGGCATGCCACAGCTCCTCTTCATCAAATCCAAACATTCTTTCTGCTTCCGTATTAGAGCATATTCCAATTGCGAAATCTTCATGAACAACTGAAAAAGATTGAGCATCATAAAACTTAAGTCTTAGGGTTAACAATTTTGTAATATACATTGAATAGCTGAAGGGAACAAAAAAAGTTTTCATATTTGATTATATTACATTCTGTACTGCAGATATATACCCAGCATATGCTGTGTTAAACTAAACCATCAACCAGTTGCAGCCAAGAAAGCAAACCAAAGCAAAGCAAAGCAAAGAAAAGAAAAGAAAAGTCGGTAACAACTATATTGGGGGAGTTTACTATTGCTCTAATAAACTACTTACTCTTACTACTCTTACTCTTACTCGCCAAAAAGAGAATAAAATACTTTTTTCACTATTATAAGCATATTTCAGTTGATTTTCAGTAAGATGTGTAATAACAGTATACACTTGATAAAAATGGTGCTAAATACTGTAGCACTAAAAGTGGTTAATTGACTCGTAATCATAGGAGAACCACTTTAAGTGCTATATAGCACCTATCTTTAAAGCTATACAGCGCCTTTGTCAAATGGTGTTACTGTATGTAGAACCATAAGAGGAACACCATTCTCCTCCTAAGATTTTAGATATGTTACTCCTCTCTCATATGTTTGCTATGAATGGGAATTTACTACAATGGCAAAAGCTGTTTTGAATCACTTTTATGCTTTTCTAAGGTCAAAAAGTCTTGTTTGGGGGCCCTGGAATATTTCCTTATAGGGGGACCTTGGGGCAAAAAGGTTGAGAACCACATTATCTTCAGGAAATACACTGTATTTTAATATCATTTTTTAATCCTTTCCCCAACTATAATATAACAGACTAAGAGAGATTTAGAGAACTTTTAAAGAACTATACAGGGGCTTAACAGGATCTTTATATGGTAGCGGTGCTATATAGCACCTCAACCACACAAAAGAACTGCTGAAGAACCATTTGTGAGTGAGTGAGTGAGTGAGTGAGTGAGTGAGTGAGTGTGTGC